CCTGCCCTGCCCGGGGGGCCGGCCGGTCCCTGCAGCGTCCGGCAGATAATGGGCTGCCCGGAGCCTTCCCGCATCAGGCCCCGGCTGCCAGGAACAGGCCTGGCTCTGGCACGGGGCCCTGCAGCTGCGGTGCTGGCAGGGTAGGTGTGGGCACGGGAAAGCCTCCCACTCTCCTGCTTGCTGGTGCCCAGGAAGGGTCACAGCCTCCGGTGCCCTCCACCCACTGCCTCATCCAGCCCTGGCATGGCTCCCACCCGCTCTGCCCTGCCCTGCGCCCAGAGCTCGGCTTGCACGGGGAGGCTGCGCCATGGCTGCAGAGAGTGTGGCTGTTGGGCAGCCCCTCTTGGCAGCCTCGGTCCCACTGCCTCGTGCCAGGGGCCCGTGCTCCCCCAGCCCCTTCTTCCTGCCTGTGCCCTGGCCCCTGGCCCAGCTGCCCCGCTGACTCAGGGGTGCTGGGATCGGGCCGGGGGAGAAGGAGCCCGGCTGGCTGCCCCGGCCAGGCCCCGATGCCCCTTCCCACCACTCACCCGCTGGCTCCAGCATGTCCTGCGCAGCTGGAGCTCCTTGGCCCAGCAGGTGTGGCTGGGGAGGCCCGGCTCTGCCTGGAGGGGCCACGTGCAGCTCTGCCTCACCTGCAGCACAAAGCATGCTGGGAGTTGTAGTCCTGCACACACCTGGTTTCAGGGCTGGGGTCTCGCTCGGGCCTGGGGCCTCTGCCCTGGGGACCAGCTCATCCTGCTGACGCCGCACCCCAGCCTGGAGCTGGGGCGGGGGTGAGGCTCCCCAGCGAGGGCTCAGGGCTGCGGCCAAGGGGGCCATCTCACACCCCTGAAGCCCCCGGGCTGCGTCTGCAGTCAGAGATCCCGCCGGGCACTTTGGTGCTCGGCAACACTGAGCAGCAGGGGAGCAGTCCCATGCCCTGCAGCCTGCAGCCCTGCTGGCACCAGCACGGAGCCCAGCTCGGTGCCTGCATGGCAGCTCCAGCCCCGGGGTCTGTGGAGCTGCAGGGACCCTCCATGCTGGCTGGGGAGGCTTGTGTGTGTCCCCCGAGCCTGGGGCCAGGCAGAGCTCGGCGTCTCCCGGCACCACTCGTACTTGCATCCAGGCAGTGCCAGAGCACGCATGTGCCCACCTGAGCACCTGGCCCCGGTCGGGGGCAGTGCCGAGCCCCCGGGGCCCCTTCCAGACAGGACGACTCACCCCCTCCTCCTCCTCTTCCTCCTCCTCTGGCAGGGCCTGGCCTGGGCGACAGCTGCGCCTCCCTGCACCTTTCCAGGCCTCGCAGGCAGCAAAGGAAGTGTCGAGGCAGGGGCCCAAATCCTGTCACATGATGCCGGCGCCCTATCGCCCTGCCGCACGGGTGCTGCGCAGGACACTGCTGGCAGGTGCGGGGGCCCCGGGCGCCCCCACCGCTGAAGGGACCCCCGCAGTTGAGCAGGCGAGCGCCGGCGGCCGGAGGATGCGCCGTGGGGGCCAGGCTGGGGTCACGGGGGCAGAGCGGGCAACTTCCTCTTCTGCAGCGATGCTCGAAGCTGCGGAGCGCCGGGACGTGCTGCTGGGGGTGCTGGCAGCAGCTGCGTGGGGAGGCTGCGCGGCCATCCGGGCTCCGGGGCTGGCGCTCTCGGGGACGGGGCCACGGGCGTGGGGTGGGCGTGGGAGCACCCTGGCCTCCCGTCCTGGCACTGGGGTGGTGGCTGCTGTGGTCCCTTCAGGAGTGTGGCTTGTCCAAGCCAATGCTGTCAAGCTGCAACTGGGGAGGGGCTGGCATGAGCAACCGGGGCAGGGGCAGGGGCAGGGGCTGGTCCTGTCCGGGCAGCCCTTACCAAGCCGGGCTCCTGTGTGCCCCACAGCGCCCTGCAGCCATGAGCAGCCCTGTGCAGCAGTGCAGGCCCCACAGCCCGGACGCCACCAGCCAGCACCCCGCCAGCGAGCTCTCACTCCTGGAGCCGGCCCACGAGGACCTGCCGGATGTGGACGTGGACGTGGACGTGGACGTGCCGCTCAGGGCCCTGCCCTGCCCCATGCGGCAGAAGCGCAGGTCAGGGGGCCGTGGGGTGCTGGGCTCAGCACGGGCCATGGAGACCATGTGCCCTGCACCGCTCTGCCCTGCTTGCTGGGCACGGGCTGGCCTGGAGGCAGCGGGCGCGGGGACGCTCACCCCAGGGGCTGGCTGAGGGCTCCGGGTACTGAGCTGTCTCCACCTGACAGGCTGCTGCAGGCGTCCAGGGAGAAAGCCCCGTCCGGCTGGGTGCCCTGGGGACCAAGCCCCCACAGGACCCTGCAGCGGTGCCGGGAGGGGCTGCAGCGCCTGGTGGGGCTCTGCCAGCTCTGGAAGGCTGCTCTGGACCAGATCGAGGGTAGGGCAAAGGGTCCCTGCAGCTGCTCCTGCCCCAGCGGGAGCCTGGACTGGTCCAGGCAGGGACACCCCCTCTCCATACCCTGCCCCCACCAGCCGCAGCCCTGGCCTTCCTCCCCCCCATGCCCCACCTGGGTTGCCTGTGGGGGTGGAGCTGCAGTGCCCCCTGGTGGTTGCCCCCACCAACTGCCCCCGTGGAAGGCAGCCCATGGAGTGGGGTGGAGGGGTCGTCTTCTGCCCCGTGGAGGGTGCCGGGCACAGAGCCAGCTGCAGCCGCGGCGTGGGGGTGTGAGCTGTGCCCTGGCAGCATGGCCGTGTCCCCGCCTGGCTGCAGTGTCACTCGGGGTCCCACGGGCTTTGGGAACAGCCAGGATGCATGTGGGGGCCCTGACTGGGACTGCCCCAAGGTGGGTGGGCTTGCTGCTGATGCCCGCTGTCCTGTCTGTACCGTGCAGGGAAGTTTGGCACCGGGGTGCGGTCCTATTTCTCGTTCCTGCGGTTCCTGCTCTGCCTCAACCTCCTGCCCCTGCTGCTGACTGCGGGGTCTGTGCTGGTGCCTCTTGGCTGGCTCCGGGGGCAGGCAGCTCTGCCCGGGTGCCAGGCTGCGGGTGAGCTGATTCCTCAGGGCGCTGTGCTCTCTCTGCACCCCCAGTAGTGGCTGGACTCTAAGGCCTGGTGTGTGGCCTCCAGGGCCAATGGGTCTGGTCTTGCCCTCCCTGCAGCCACACTCCCCCAGCACCAAAGGACTCACTACCTCCCAGGAGCAGCTCGCGCCTGGGAGCAAAGCCAGCCTGGGCTGTGCGGGGCAGGGGTGCCCCATCCCTCTGCCCATCATCCAGCTTCTGCCAGCCCAGCGGACCAGGGAACTGTGGTGTGATCCTGCCCTGGGCAGACGGGGAGGGGTTCAAGGATGTGGGGCCCTACCAGTCCTGCCCAGGCCCTGCTCCCCTGGGCCATGCCCCTTTGCTCCAAACAGCAAGAGCAGCCTGGAGCCAGGACCCCTGGACTCTGACCCCCACCTGCCACCCACCAGCCATGCCTCTTTGGCCAGGCCTCCGTGCAGGGGAGCTAGGCTAGCTGGGGGCTGTGCCAGGCCCCTGGGGAGGGGCCGGGGACCCTAACCTGTGCTCCCGCTCCCAGGCCTCCCGTGCCTGAACGCCAGCCACGGGGACAGGCCTTCGGCCATCTGGCATCATCTCCATGACCTCTTCTCGGGCAAGGTGTGTACGCCAGGGGGCCGGAGCAGGGCAGGATGCTCAATGGCAGCGTGTGCCTCATGCTTCTGCCCCATAGTGCCCACGCTGCAGGGCTCTGGGCACAGCGGGGTGGAGCCGGCTGTGCCAGGACAGCTCCGAGCTCTCCCCCCAGGGCTTTCTGGAGTGCTCCTACCTGTTCTACGGCTACTACCAAGTGGGTGAGGAGGACAGAGCCTGGTACATCGTTCGCCTGGCCTACCTGCTCAACTCCCTGGGCTACCTGCTGCTCTGCTTCCTCTGGATCCTCCGCCGGTGTGTGCCACTGGAGGCAGGGAGGGAGGCGGCAGGGTGCTGCCCTGCCCCGGAGCCCAGGCGGGCCAGGTCTGGCAGCCGTCAGGCCCAATGGCATGGCTGTTTCTTGCTGCAGGGGCTGGATAAAGTAGAGGGTGGCAGAGGGCTGATGGGGAGAGCGGGCTGGGCTGGGTGTGGGGTGCCACATGGGTGAGCGATGCCAGGTGCCAGCTTCCCACAACCCGCCCTGCAGGTCGGTGAAAGGGCTGGTGCGGCAGCAGGTGCTGAGCCGGGCGTACCGGCCATGCCGGGGCACCCACATCTTCAGTGAGTGGGACTTCTGCATCCACAGCCTGGGCACCGCAGCCATCAAGCACCAGAGCTTCTGCAATGAGCTGAAGGTGGGGGCAGGGGAGGGGGCCGGTGGTGGCCTGGGCACACGGGGGCACTTGTTGTAGTGCCCTGGCCTTGTGGGGGGCACCGACCCCCCCCCCCCCATGTCTCACTGACCGCAGCCCCCCCATCCATGGCGGCAGATGGAGCTGGCAGAGGAGAGGCGTCACCTGGAGAATCAGCGCCGGACCCGGTGGCAGCGCAGCCTCACCTACCTGGTGCATCTGCTGGTCAACCTCGGTGTCCTGCTACTCATGGCTGTGGCCTTCTACTGCATCCACCAAGTCACGGCCTTCTCCCAGGTGGGTGCCCTCCCTGGCGAGGCGGCTTCGCTCAGGCTGTGCTCCCTGGGCCCTTGCAGGCGTTGGCTGGCGCCATGTGCCAGGTCCCCCCACGCCTGGCTCAGCTCCTCTCCCCGCAGGCCTCTGACGCCAGTGTGGTGACTCAATACCTGCCGTCCATCACCATCTCCCTCCTCAACCTCCTGCTGCCCTGGGTCTTCCACATGCTGGTCCAGGCTGAGTGCTACTCCCCGCATATGGAGGTCAACCTCACCCTCATCAGGTCGGTGCTGCCCCGGGACTGTGCAGCTCTCACCTGGCTCTGAGCCCAGGCTTGCACTTCCTGGGGCCTGGGGACCACCAGGGACACTGACCCAGCCACGGAGACCCTTTCTAGCCCCTCTCTTAGCGGGGAGCCGGGCTGTGCTGGGAGCTGCAGCCCAGATGGACGGTGCGTGACCCTGCCCCTGCTCTGCCCCCAGGTGCGTGACTCTGCGGCTGGGCAGCCTGGGCATGGTCCTCTTCTCCCTGCGGCACACGTTGTGCCTGGAGAACAGCAACAGCAATGACACCTGCCAGGCCTGCCGCCCCCAGGTAAGCGGGGCACGCGATTGTGAGCGGCAGCATCATGCCCCTGCCAAGACAGAGGCAGACCTGGCGGCAGCGAGGCCGCGGCAAAGCCCGGCTGTCAGCTGGGGCCTGAGGCACGTGTTGTGAGGGGGGCTGTGCCTTGCCACGGTGGGTGTGACTGGTCCCTTCTGTCCCGCAGTGCTGGGAGAACGTGGTCGGCCAGGAGATGTACAAGCTAACCGTCTTCAGCTTCCTCATCACCCTCGGGGACACCTTCCTCATCAGCCTACCCAGGAGGTGAGGCCGGGGCTGGGGCCATGGTCACAGAGAGGGGCAGGGGAGAAGATGCACCCAGGCTGGGTGGGAGGCTAGGGCACTGCTCCCCTCCTGTGCGAGGGCCAGGCAGAGCGCAGGCCAGAGGACAGGTGCCCGTTCTCACACAGGCGCATCGCGGAGCGGGTACAACATGCCTGGCTGCAGAAAGAGGAGTTCCTTGTCCCCCAGAACATCCTGGGCACAGTGGCCGCGCAGACCGTGGTCTGGCTGGGCATCTTCTACTGCCCCCTGCTCCCTTTGCTCAATGGGACCTTCATCTTCCTCACCTTCTACCTCAAGAAGGTGAGGGGCAGGGGGGCTGGTGCTGCGAGGGTTGGGCTGCACGTGCCCTGGGCTGGTTGCCTCCTTGCAGGGCAGGGCCGGAGCCAGTGATGCTCTCTCCCCACAGTACACGGTGCTCCAGAACTGCCGGCCGGCCAAGAGGCTCTTCCGCGCCTCGAGCTCCACCTTCTTCTTCCAGTTCGTGCTGCTGCTGGGCCTGGCCATGGCCGCAGGCTCCCTCACCTATGCCATCACTCGGTGAGTGGGCGCCCCATCACAGCACCAGTCTGAGGCATGGGGCTCTGCTCCCCAGCCCCTCTCCATCCCAGTCCTGGGTGCCCCGAGGCTCTGTTCCCTGCCTCTGTCTGACGCTTCCCTCCTCCGGCCCCCAGAATCCGTCCCTCCAAGACCTGTGGCCTCTTTGCCAACTACTCGGCTGCCTGGAAGGTAGTGCCCAAGGCTGTGGAAACCCGCTTGCCCCATGCGGCCCAGCAAGTCCTGAACTACCTCACCTCCGACGCCTTCAGCTGCCCGTTCATCATCCTGCTCAGGTTGGGGCCAAGACCCTGCTGGGCTCGGGGAAGTGGGCTGGGACCCCTCAGGGTGGATCCTGGGGGTTCAGTGCCTCCCTGCATCCTGCAGCCTCATCCTCACCATGTGCGTGTCCCAGGCCCGGGTGAACAAACAGGCCATCAAGGAGCTCAAGAGGCAGCTGATGCAGGTGAGGGGGCCCGGGCTGCTCCGGGGCTCTGGGCTGGCTGCGGCTGCAGGGAGGCATCTGCCATGTTACCCCGCTGTGCTTTGCCTCCCCCAGAGGGTCAAGGAGAAGTGGGGCCTGGTGGGGGAGCTGGCCAAGCTGCTGGAGGAACCCACGGCTAGTGGCAGTCACCTGGCTGGGGAAAGAGCTGAGTCGCCATCCAGCCCCTCTCCGAAGCCTCCTGGCTCCTGGCTGAGACGGGAGCCGCGGCGCCCAAGCAGCACAGCCCCCAGCAAGGATGGGAGCACCTCTCCCCTGGAGACCCCATGTCCCAGCCCCTGACCAGGCTCCACGCTCCGGGAGCTGGAGGAGATGTCAATGCAAGCATATGCATGCACAAATCCATGTCTTACTGGGGCTGTACACGCGTGTGCATGTGTGTACAGTGGTGTCTTCCTGAGTGTGTACACTGAATGTGCCGGGGTGGGCGGGGTGTATATGCAGCGGTGTCTGAGGGGTATCTCCATGTGTGTGTATGTGTGCGGGCATGCATGGAGACAGCCTGTCCGTGCAAGCGGGGAGTGCAGTGTTTGTGCCCGTGCCGGGGGGCTCTGCCTGTCCGGGTAATAAAGGCCCCGCCACGGTAATGATGATCGCTGTCTGGCGTGCGCAGGGCAGGGCAGGGCAGAGGCTGGGGGGGCTCAGGCTCCCCCGGGGGGGACACCCTGGGCGGGGACGGCCCAGCCAGACGGGCTATCTCGGCGCGCCGCGACGGTGGATCCCTGGCTAGGACTCTGCCTGCGGAGCTGCTCTTGTGAGCCCCGCGGCCGGCACCCCGGCCAGGCCAGGCCAGGCCAGGCAGGGCTGCGGGGCCGCAGAGAGGCGGCCGGGGAGGCGGCCGTGCGCTGCACCCGGCCCCGGCCCC